GGTTGGCGTATTGCCGCCAAAAAGCTTAGCCCTGAGCAGCAGCAACAGCGCGACCAGCAACAGCACCAGCTTGCCGCCAACAGTTGCCGGCAGTGGGAGCGCCACCAGCAACAGCATTAACAACAACAACACCGCCAACAGCAACTGTAGCACCGGCAACAGCACCACAGGCATGTCCACGTCGCTGCACAGCTTCGATATAAACGGCAGCGTCGGCGCCGGCACCATGGACAAATGGGCAAGTGGCTCCACAACTGCAATGAATCATGCGTCGCTATCGCCTACGGGCGCACCGCAGCAGCATCACCTACGCAAATGCGAGGTCAAACTGAATGCAATGCCGTAAGTTGAGCTGATTTATGCATTATTATCATTGGTATTGGAAAATTGGAAATTGAATTGGAAAAATATTTATATATATAATAAATTATCAACATATAGTATGTATATCTGTAAATCGAATTTACCTTTTCAACTCTCCAGTATCCAGTTGAAGTCAGTTTTTACTCCTATATCACTCTCAATTCTCATATCTGTGTTTCCGCTTTCTTCCCTTAGCTGGTTTCATGGCAGCATAACGCGCGATGAGGCGGAACATCTGCTCCAGCCACGCGAGGATGGGCTATTCCTAGTTCGTGAATCGACCAATTTTCCCGGCGATTACACGCTGTGCGTTTGCTTTCAGGGCAAGGTTGAGCATTATCGTGTCAAATATCTGGAGAATAAGTTAACTATCGACGACGAGGAATACTTTGAGAACCTGGGACAACTCGTCGCGGTAAGTCGATGCTGAAGCCAGCCTCAAGGCATAAGCATTATTAAACTTTCTTTCTTTGACTATCGACAGCATTATGAGGCCGATGCGGATGGGCTGTGCACGCAGCTGGTTAAGTGTTTGCCCAAACTGGGAAAGCAAGAGTACTGCATTAACTCCAAAGAGTTTGTGGATAAGGGCTGGGTCATACCTGAATCGGAGCTCCAGCTGCGCGAAAGCATTGGCAAAGGCGAGTTCGGCGATGTCCTCTTAGGAATATTGCGCAACGAGAAAGTCGCTGTCAAGATGCTCAAAGATGAGGGCGCTGTGCAAAAGTTTCTCGCCGAGGCGTCAGTAATGACGTAAGTTATATATATTTATATCTATAAATATAAGTGCTGAAGCAACACAATTGTATTTCTCATTAACAGAACGCTGGAGCACGAGAATTTAGTCAAGTTTATAGGCCTTGTTTTTACAAGCAAGCATCTGTACTTGGTGACGGAATACATGAGCAAAGGATCGCTGGTTGATTATTTGCGTTCTCGTGGACGACAGCACATAACCAAAAAGGATCAAATCAACTTCGCATTGTAAGCCCCTTATAAATATGTGCATATCATCGTTTTATTTAATACGGTTTATTTTCATGCTCTTTCGTAATTGCAGCGACACGGCCTCTGGCATGGAGTATCTGGAAGCCAAAAAGGTTGTGCATCGAGATTTGGCTGCACGTAATGTTCTTATCTCGGAGGATTGTGTGGCCAAAGTATCCGATTTTGGTCTGGCACGCGAGGAATGCTATAATCTTGATGTTGGCAAACTGCCCATCAAATGGACAGCTCCCGAGGCACTCAAAAATGGCGTACGTTTTTTAAAGCTAACAAAATCCAGTTTAAGGCCTCAAGGAATCAGAACCAACTAAACGAATAATCTTAAAAATTTTATTGGGCTACGTTATTTAAAAACTTTACTGTTTAACTAGTGTTCTCGTGTTTTTAATATTTATTTATATTTTTCAATAATAATATTTTTATTAATTTGTATATTCCCTTAGCGCTTCTCCAATAAATCGGATATGTGGAGTTTTGGTATACTTCTGTGGGAAATCTATTCCTTTGGCCGTGTGCCTTATCCCCGAATCGTAAGAATATATAACCAATATCTATTGCTTATAACACTTACGAGTTTTTCTTATAGCCCTTGGCGGACGTGGTAAAACATGTAGAAGTTGGCTACAAAATGGAAGCACCCGAAGGTTGTCCAGCGGAAATTTACGAGATGATGCGTCAGGCGTGGGACTTGAATCCAGTGAAAAGGCCAACATTTGCGGAGCTGAAAGTGAAGTTGCAGCAGCTAAACAATGCAACAGCGTGAGAGGCGTGTGAAAGCCAAAACAACAATATTTAAAATTAGAAATTCAAAGGAAATCATTTCAACAACTAATCGAAATTTTTGTTTCAAAACAAACCTTAGTTTGTGGGCTGGAAAATAAGAATGAGAAACCGCCAAGGCATAACGAAAGCTTCATTTATACACTGACACTGAACGCAACAATTTTTCGTACCAATCTATATATATATATTTAGTACATATATGTATGTATGTGTGTATGTCTCTTTTTTGTATTTTGTACCGTCAAAAATCGTGTAAAATTCTCATACA